ACCCCCCCCCCCTTGCCTTGGCCCCTTTTCCCTGACCTCTCACCCCTTTCACTTTCACAAACAGAGACGTGCCTGATGAGCTCAAACAGAAGATCAAAGAGAGATTCCATAGAGACTTCCTCCTGTTTGGATACGATCCCAAACCACCTGGCTGAAGGTAGCTAAATCTACCTACTGAACAAGAGTCTTGCCTGGAATCATGATTGCGCCTTTGTTGTATTGTACGCCGTGAGAGTGAGGTGTTTCTTTGAAGAGTTGTCTGTTAGATTGTTCGCGCCTGTGCAGTGAATCTGTTTGATGGTAACGAATAAAAGTTAACAATTACTGATGTTCTATTTAAGTGTTAGATTGGTGAGTGGAGTGAGGCAAGACAAAGCATTGGTCAGAATGTAAAAGGATGATTTGGAAGAATTTTCTGCGGAGTCCAATGCCAAGTCAATGGCAGTGGCCTCCGCTGAAAAAAATGGAGGCTTCGGGGGGGGGGGAGGGGGGAGGGGGGAGCATTTATGCTGCCTTCTTTTTCTTTAGGGCGTACGGCATCATCACACACCCCAGAGAACCAGACCTTATTTTCCGTGGTTTTGGCGATGGTTTTGACGTGTCTTTGTGGCACATTTCTAGAATCGTTTCGTGAAATTAGTTGTAGTTGAAGTCCAAAGTGTGGTTCAATATGTGCCGTTTTGAGCAGTGCACTGCTAGCAGGGAGCTGTAAAATATATCCTCGCATTTACTACCGCTCAATGCTAGCAGTGATTTCGTCATTTCTAAATTCAGCATACCCGATATTTCCCGCCAAACCTCGCCAAGGTATCTCGATCAGCTCAAGACAGCTGAAGACAGCCCCTACGTTCTCCTCTTGAACCAGTTCAACAAAACAAAAACAAAACAAACGTGGTCTAAAATGGTAGAGAATGTCTCTGGGCTCATTCTAAAATATGATTTAAAGCGCTCTTCCTATCCATTTAAGTCAAGAAACAGGTGATGAAATTCTCCGCACGTGTCTCTTTTGGCATTACTGGGACGATCCCAGTATTCTTTCTCGCCATCAAATGCAAGAGACTGTGTCAATAGTGATCAAGTGTCCATCACATGCATCAAACATATTTTACGGACCACCATGTTATGAACTGTCTCCGATACAAGCAGCGAGCTAGCAGAGAGAGAGAGAGAGCTAGTACACAATGCTTTTCTACTGCTTTTGGTGAGAACTGAGAACACATGCAAGCTGACTGATAGTGAGCAGTGGTGGAGCAGCCGGCGAGCTGGTTGCAACTGGACAGCTTGCTAAAACAGCTTTTGGTGCGGACACTCGAGCCTACTGCTAGAACTGCTCTTAGCGGCTCGGCTCAACTACTGCGCAGCTACTGCTTTTGGCGCGGACAAACCCTAAGAGACGAGACACCCAAAAAGGTATAAACGGCGGATAAAAGTAAAGTAAAGAAAATATATGTGAATGTTCCTTGATGTGAGTAAAAGAATAAAGATGGAAGTGAAATTTTTAAAATAATAAAAAAAATATTTTAAGATACATGTATATGAAATATTAACGCAATTTTCAGATTGCCACGCAATGATACGATCGTCAAAAGGCGCGGAACATGTGTCATGTATGATTGTATGTATGTGTGTATGTATGTGTGTATATATGTGTGTATGTATGTATCTGTGATTGTGTGTGTATGTACAGTCGAACCTGTCTAAGACGGAATCGCAAGGGAACGGGGGGGGAAATTCCGTCTTAGACATTTTCCGCCTTAGACAGGGGAATTTAGGGGGGGGGGGGGTCAAAGGCTCAGCCGGTGGGATCAAGGATCGCTTGTCCGATCGGCAAGCAGTGGTCAAAACTTCACACCTCTCAGCTGCTATCCTGTCCGACAATGACATGCGTCAGTCTACGTATCCAATTACCACCAGTGCTTGCTTTTCACAGGACCACTGTTTGACCTATTAAAAACAGAAAGGTTTGAACATCTTATTTGCTTCCACCCTTAGCCCCACCCACCAATGCCACCCCTCAGTGCCATCGTTGTAACAACAACGATTCGAGGAACTCTTTTCTGGGCTGGTCGTACGATCACGGCGGCAGGCATTGGTCAATCTAATTTCACACCTCTGGCTTCTGGCTACCAAGGAAAGTTTCCGTAGTGGCTCGCTACTCGAGCACTCTCAAGGGAAGTCGTGAGATTTCACACCCACACCACACTGACCATCTGCATCGCTCAGGGCTCACATGATGGTGTAACATCTACCCCCAAATTGCCCCCCTACTCCTCTTCCTCGCCCAGCGGCATGGCCATGGCGTTAGGCTAAGTTCAGAGCCGGCGGAACCAAACTTGCGAGTTTCGTTTCAAATCAGGGCTGAGTGGGCTAAGCATTTTCCGTCTTAGTCACGTGAAACCCTCGGAAGGGAGCGGATTTTTCTTTCCGTTTCCGCGTTGGACAGGTTTCGTTTTATACAGGTAATTAAAGAGAAATATATCAAGGGGGGAGCGGGTAGATTTCGTTAAGACAGGTTTCCGTTTTACATAGGTTTCCGTTAAGGCAGGTTCGACTGTATGTATGTATGTCTCTGTGTGTTGTGTATGTGTGTGTGTGTTTGTGTGTGTGTGTGTGTGTGTGTTTTGTGTGTGTGTGTGTGTTTGTGTGTGTGTGTGTGTAAAGACAGTTTGTAATATGGTCAAAATATTGTTATCTTATAAATTGAGAAGGTACGAAACTATCTCTCTCTCTCTCTCTCTCTCTCTCTCTCTCTC